AATATGGGGATCCCCAAACGCAAAAAAAAAAAAAAAAAAAAAAAAATACACAAACAAACAAAATCAATTTATTGTAAAGAACTTTAAAGGTTCAATACCACTCTTGTTGTAACTGAATAATATGTCCCAATCTTTATTCTGGTCAACAAATTGTACTATTTTGGAATATTTCAATTAATTGATGATACAAATTTCATCTTAACACACCTTATTTAAAAATTTTGAAAAATTTAACATAATGGTTTGAAACGTCTAACGTAAACCTTTTCAAATGAAACTTCGATTTAAAAATATTTTCGAACCCCCTGGACAAGTAAAATAGGATGTAATGGATAATTTACACAACAGGTAGGACACTTAAACATCTAGTACTTAGATAGAGATATTATTTATTTTCTGGAGCTTTCAAGCCAGCAAGAGTGTTATTGTCCCTTTAACATGCGTACACCATCAATGAAATTACATTTAGAAAGGCGACGCTCGGTGTGCTTTAAAAAGAAAGCGACGTGGTAGCCTAGCGACACTAGAAATGACTACAATGAAACACCATAAAGTAAAGACCTACGTTATTTGATAATCTGCATGATTTTTTTAACGAAAGATAATAAGGGCTTTTGTTTTAATCCACATGATCATGTTACAAAAATAGACCGATGCTGTTGTTTCTAAACTCACTGATAGCCTACAATTGGTATAACCTATTTATCGACTAATGGTAGTTCTACACAATACAGTAAACAACTGAAAAGAAAGATGTCGGTCACGTACACAGCTACTGAACAGCTAGTATAGGCCTACTTCCTTTATTTATAACAATTATACACACCTAACCTAAGTTACCAGTCTCAACTAAATATAGTAACGGTTTACGTTTAAACCATGTTTATCAATACGTGTTGGCCTAACATCTTGTTCCCTGATCAAAAAAACCCAACAAAGCCGCGAAATTCATATTGATAATATCCTGGACGTGAACATTTTTAGCGTCTTAATGTAGCGTTGCCTGGCAAAAAAAGTAATTTTTGTTTTTTTACTATGGATCGAGACTGTGGCATGTTATGGAGTTCACACACTTTAAAATGTTAAAATATAAACGTGGAATTAAAAGAATGGAATGGAGTTGAACGGCCTACTTGTCTGTACCGACTGGGATAATGCAGACGGACATTCCGTCGTGCTGTGTGCTATATGAGGGAAATAAAAATTGTGCTCTGATAGCGGCGCTATGGCCTCTTGTTTCGAATTTCAACTGTCAATGATTCTTTCATGTACACGCATGTGTTCGAGGGTCTCGGTATCTCATCCCAACCGAACGGCTAGATATAAGACACCATTCCTGGCCAGGCCTTCCGTTCTGCACCATTGACAAGGGGACACCACCCCGGAAAATCCCGATAAACTTTCTCGACCTACTGGTTAGTGAGACAGCGTCTTCCTCACTGAGTCACCGCGGCTCCTAAATGACGATATAGCACAAAATGTGCAGTCGAAAATTCTGATGATTCATTGGATACTTTATTAATGCCCCAATAAACAATTCCAAACACTTTAGAATATGTCTTGTTTAACAACAGAAAATAAAAACATGGAGATGATATATCAATAATTTGTGATGTACATTTTGAATATGGATATGGTTCTTCCTTATGTCCTATTAATCAGCCCTATCAATTAACAATTCCATTGAGTACTCTGATCGATTTCGCGTATCCGGGTTCATAAGTGAACATTTAAAAGAGAATGTAAAACTTTGCATTCGGAAAGCTCTAAATAATTCCTTTTTTATAATCCCATTATGAACTTTACAAGATTAAATTAATGAGTGCCAGCAAAGACTGGAGATAACTCGGCGATTCTTCTTTTTCTTTTGTTGTATTTTCTTTTTTCATCATCCAATGCTGCTTCCCCATATGATATCAAAAGTGGTATTTAATTCCTATAGTACATTTTGCTTCGGGAGCCACTGAGGGGACAGTAATTTCAAAACCCAAGTCTGTTAACGTTCATGAAGTACTCGAGGAAACTCAGTTTTTGTTTTCGTAACTCACTCTATTACCAATGAAAAGATAAGCAATAGTAAATGAGATATTATTGTCTTACTGAACTGTTTGAGGCAAAAGTTTTTATAGCTCTGTGTTGTTTAATCATTTTGTCTGGCATGTCACAAGTCTTGAAATCTTGAAACTGTTCGGTGATTATTCTGTCTGTATATAGTCTTCTTCTTCGAAATCCAGTTTACTTATCTCTAAGCTTTGCATCCATCACAATGACATGTTTGTTCTTTCCGAAAATATGAATATGAATTCCTCTCTAACTTTAAAAATCCGTATGATCTGCATTCTTCATTTCTTCGGCAGGTTGACGATGTAGCCCATCTTCAACTCTTATGCTATACGTACCACTTTCGTCTCCATAAGGACCGTCGATGTTGTCTGGGCCAGGTTCTTTCCCATCTTTAATTTTCAGGTTTGCATTCTGACTTTATTTTTGGGTTACCCCAAGGTTGATATCAAGGTTTTCTTCTCCTTCTGTCCTAGAGGTGCATTTACGAGTTGAGTTATAGTTCTTGTCGCGTATAGATTTTTAGGCAGCCAATTCGTATGCTTGGGAGGGGGGGGGGCTATTGCTAAGTGAAACCAAGTGAAATTGACAACTTTTATTACCAGTTAACAAGTATGATCGTACTGTGGACCAGGAACTGACCATGTTGTTGGATGAAATTCAGCAATCTATTTCACCAAATCGATGTTGAATTACTCAAAGATGAAACATGCCAATTTTCATGTCGATCGGACTTGAATTGAAGGAGCCTTGCTTTTTCGAAGAGCGTCACTTCAACAAGGACAAGGATAAGAACAAGATGTGTAGCGGTTAGCAACCAGTTCCTCGTCCAAAAACACAACACAATTTATATAGAAAACAATCACTGGTTTATAGCGCGACGTTTTAACAAGTCTTCTCTTGTCGTTTTTTTTCTTTTTTTGGGGGGGGGGGGGGGGTTAGCGCGTGTGCGTTGTATCACAAGGTCTTTTATTGAGTTAACTGGCGTGGCTTCGATTCCTCAGTTGTACGTGACAATGACTAGGGTCGCCTGTCCAAGCTCGTAGGTTTATCTCCGGGTCCTTGATAAGAGAATACTATACCCACCCAAGGATTCCAATAATTTGGAGATGTAAAGTTCAGACTTATACCCAACTAACGAATACAAGATTATGGTTCTTTTGTTTGCGGTTTATTTTTTCGTATTTGCGTTGTTTGTTGGTGCTAGTTTTAAAATAAACTGTAGATCAAAGAGATAACTATGTTATGTGTTTTCTTTAATTTTTCATGCATTAGGTAAGAATATGCACTATGTTAATCAGTTAAGAAATGCAGATTTCTGTTCCTTCTGCGTCGTATGATTTATATAAAATGATTTATCATGCAGAATTAATTTATTTATATAGCCTTCTCGCTCAAATTAACAAAAATAACTAAAAACGTCTTCATATGTAAAAACTGTAACCATAATTTATGGATTTGGATCTGATAGTAAATTTCATTTACGCATTTAAAGTAACCAATAAAATGCAATATTTTTTTTACAAAATTGCAATCCAATAATTTTGTCTGAAGTATTCGATCTTCAGCTGTTACCGCGTAACTTTTTCTTTCTTTCTTTGGTTTAATGGTTTTCATGTTTGGTGTAATTAAGAAGAATATAAAAAAGGCGAATCATGTTTTATATTTGCTTTGAGTTGCAAATAAATGACAGATCATTACGTATACATGGATGTTTAAGAGAATACTGTACCTAGAAGTTGTGTTTGAGAAGTGGCATGCCTAAATACCTAGTTGTTATTGTAGAATTATGTATTGATCTATATTAGTGCATTGACCCCCGGTAACATGTTGTAGATGTATGATGAACCTGGTTGAATGTGTACACATACTTGACCACTCAGTGAACTTACTTCAAGTTACACACCTAGCAGTCTGCTAAATATACACATCCGGATTATCGCTATAACGAGCTCGTTCTCGCAATTCACTTATATCAAGTACAACTTCTGGTTTAGTATAGATTAGGATAAGCCCATCTATTTTGGGATTACTCTTTTCATGGATTACCGCGCGTAATTTAAACAAACCTTGACCATAAGCATATGATGTCCTCGACGTTAAAACTTAGAAGACATCGTTGTGCAAGGGTTGTATTTTGGAGAGGGTGCTGTTGATGTTAATATATTGTTTTTACCCTTTTGCATAGAGACATATACTTGTAATAGAAAATGTTTTTTTGTGTTCTTTCAAAAATAAAATGGGAATTTCGGTAGGGCTCCTCATAAACATAGGAGCCTTGCCCCCCCCAAAATTTATTTTCGGGCAATGAAAAATTCGACGACCTTTTTTTTTCTATTAACGTTTAGAGAAAAAATATAACTAACTTATTTCTATGAGATCCACACTGCCGGAAAAGTATTTTCTCGTCTATTTCTTGTCCACTGCATGCCCGAAAATATACCCGAAGCTCTCTTATGATAGGTATGCCCAAAAATCGGGCATCGCATCAATATAATATACTATATATTGATCATATTGATTTCGATATATATTTGATTATATTATATTGATTTTGGGCAATTTTCTCTTATGCCCCCCTGAATTACTTTGAGCTCCTACGCCTATGCTCATAAAGAATAAATAAACGTACAATCCAAAAGGGTGTTATAAAACGTAATTCTATGAACTACAATAAATGTTTACAACATTTTTATAAAAAGCAATAACTCTGTTTGCTGCTTTCCTGGTTAATTTTCTCTTTAAGTCCTTTAACCCTAGTTATTTTATCTATAGATCTACATATACATGTATATCCCTAATCCACTGTCAATTCCAACTGTCAAGGCATCTTTTAGAAGTGTACCACCAATCTGTTCACGGATGGGGTCCAAGTTTTTTGTACTATCCAAACCATTAGACCTACTTTATTGAATGAATAAATGAAGCAATAACACATCTTGAAAAAAATCTGATGACATTTATTACATGTCGAAATGTAAAGAAAAATATAATATAAACCACAACAGGACAGTTTGCTGTATAAAAGAATGAAATGGTCTGATAAAATTTATAGATGGAAAATGACAATCACTGGTACAAAATAAATTCAGCAATTAACAAATACATATATTTTCTTGTGGGGTGGTTAGACTTGGTAGCTATATTATTTATTTAAGTTAAAATACCTCAAAAATACATGAAATACAATACAGTTCTCTTTAGACATGTAGGGGTGGCAAAAATATGACCTTTCCAAGCTGTAAGTAGTGTAAGTCATGATACAATGTTAAAATGTAAGTTAGACCAGTTTGACAGTTTAATTGTCTGTAATTTTCCCCTTTCTATTACAGAAGTTTTCAGTAGACCCACTTTCTGACTACAGAGGTTAAATAGGTGTTAACATCAAGGTAAATAATGTTTCTATCTTCTGTTGACATTTATTCTTAAAGGGTTTACTGCGCTATTTATTGGAACCTTAAAATAGAAGAAAATAGGTCTAAAAGTACATATTAATGTAATATGAGTGTATATAAAGTGATTTATATTCAATTAGAAAATTTTTTATCTTAAATTCAAATCAATATTGTTCAGTAAAATATGTGACTAGTCCCAATTGAACAGCAGTCGTTTACGCCTGAATAGTCCATTCTATGGGTTTTCTTTTAGTTATGATTTTATGGTTTGTGAATCAGCCATTAGTAATTACTTCTGCATTAAGTGAGTTGTAGGATATGTTTTTCTTTGTTCATTACAAATGGAACCCAAAACTGTAAAGTACACGACTTGTTTACTGATTTTAACATTTTCAGTATATTTTAAATATTGTACATCAAGATCTTATATTTTCACGGCAAGATAACAACATCAATATTGATTGATGGACCAATATTGAATTTTAATTTCAAATTTTATCGAAAATATAGAGTTACAGGTCTTTTGCAGTTATATCAGAAGTCATATCGATAATATTTTGCACATAGTACATAAGGCAGACCACCCCTGCCTTATTAAAATATATAAATAAGAAAATTATATAAGTAAAAAGGAAATGAAGCACCAAATTCAAAGATTTATATTTGACTTCTTGAAAAGCTATCTGACGGAGTATTCCACAATGACAATGAAAAAAAAAATTGAAGCAACATCATAAATCAATTCTCATCTGGCTGTCATAGATAGGTTCTAAGAAAACAGGGTGCCAAATACATAGTTTATTGAAGCAGTTTCACTTGATTTCTTACACAAGGAATTGTGTAATATCGGGTACTGATTCATACACTGGTATTGAAGATTAAATAAAATTTTACATCAACAATTCATCTACATCTATGATAATAAATGAGATTACAATGACATACCAGCTTCATTAGTTAAATTATTATAATAACTTTATACAAAACTACATTTCTATTGAGCAAATGTTTGTTACATATAAGCCTGGAATATAATTTATTATATAGATATGATTGAAAGAATGAAATACACAGGAAGAAGTAGAGTGACTGAATGAATGAATGAATGAATGAGCAAGATGTTCTATTTACAAATAATTATGAATAGAATTTGGATATATAAATAGAAATAATACATAAATTTACACCATATTACTAACTTGCGTCCCTTTATTGTCAGTAGTTTAAGTCCCCAATCTTATCATTTATTTAAAGCTGTAAGGGAAAACAGATTGTTTGATTTAAATTTTTGCATCTACAGTTTTAGATCTAAGTTATTATATATTAAATATTCTTGTTCATGATTATTTTTATATATTTCAAATTGGACATGTACGTAAGACCATTTTTAGCCAAAAACAGAAACAGTTTATACAAAATGAATGTATTATGTCATTGCAATTTTTAAAAGATTGGGAATGAATACTATATTAAATTGTATTATTAATAATATTAGACTTTAAAAGAGACTATCACTAAAATACTACAACAATAAATGTACTATGGAGCAGAATACACAACATAATTGTAAGTTCTAACCTAGTAATTCTTCATGCATTACATTGAAAGGTTATGAGTTAGAATTATATCATGAATTCTGCTCCACAATACACTAATAACTAAAACTCTAATTGAAACTACTTAACAACATAAGTGCTCACACTGAATACTGATTTTACTATTTAAATATTCTATGTTTATATTTGAATGCTAATTATCTAGAAACTGTGAATCTTCCATATCAACGAGTAAAATTATCAAATATTTCCCACAGAAGATAAACATGAATCAACCTGACATCAAATACATGTAATGAATACCTAAAAATCAGTTCAAATAAATAGCTTTGAACAACTATTCAAATTTGAATATTCAAGTGAGCACTAAACTACATGTAAGTATTGTACAATTTCACTATCAACATCAGATAGAAGAAATGCATCATCTATTCAAATCCAGTTTTGTTCAAAATCATCCTTTGGTCAATGTTTTATAATAGTAGACCTTCCATATCTTGTATTTTGATAAACAATTAGTCATAAATCAATGACTTCATTATTTTTATCATTATTCTATGCGGTTTTGTATCTCTAATTCAGAATTTAAACAATGTAAAAATTTTATGTAGGTAATAAAAGTCAATAACCCTTAACCAATTTAGAATAAATTAGTTCTATGAAATATTCATCAACATGCTTAATTATAAAAAAAAATACCAATTAAAATGAGATCTATTTTCATTTGACCGCATGTGAACACATGTTAATAACAATAAAAACACAAGTGAAATTTCTATAATTATTTGAATAATACCTCCATTTGGTTATCTTTTTTATTTGAAATTCTTATTTTCTTTATTTCATTATAAAATAAAATGTTTTGTATAAAATGATTACATAATTTAAAAATAAATGTTTTTTAAAATGATATTGGTGTTTTCTTGTCTGTCAGACTGTGTATATCTAATTCCTCCATCTCTACTGCATCTCGATACTGGGTTAATTCTTTAGAAATCTTGATGCGTGTATAGTTGGCTGCCAGACAGATCATGAACAATATCTAGATAGAGATAAGCAAAACTATGTAATGCGTATTATTTTACATTTTTGTCATAATTTGTAGGTAATGTAAGATACAATAAACAGTGTCAAAGTTCTGTACCATTTAGAAGAATACACATCTTGCTTTACTGCTTATCACAGCATTTTATCCTTGATTGTGTGTAAAAAAACTGCATAGTTCTTAGAAATCATGATAAAATATGTCTTGTCAAATTGTACACAAAACTGTTCTATTTCTAGAGATTTTCTCAATTATTGATATAAAACATGTATGTGTAGCTGAATAAAATAACATGCAGTTCTACGCAGTTATAGCAAGCTAAATTATAGAGTGAAAGTTAATCATTTATAGTTTTATGCTTTAAAAATGTAACATTTCGTAATTTCGTTGTTATTACGCAGTAGAGGCACGACAATCACTTCAAAATATAAGTAAGTAACTAATACTTTTAAAATTGACAACACATGACATTTTCACTACCGGTATTAACATTTGGTTTTTTGGAATGTAAGCATTTTGAACAATATATATATAAAATCCATTTTTATTGGGCAACTAGATGAAAGGAAGGTACAAGAAATTCTTATTCTGAAGAAGTAAAAAGCGAATTTCCTAAAAATGCCGGATACAACCTATTGACACACCACCATGGGCTGTACATGGTTTGTTGATATAAAAAGTATGGTCACTGTAAGATCACACCCCTACAGGGTAACCCACCATTATCTTATAAAAGGAGGTAATGGTTGTCACAGTACATGTATGTTGTTATTATCATTCTTTATTTTAGTCTTTTAGTGGAAGTAACCCGTGTAAAAATAACACCATTCTGTTCTAGATAGGTTGCTTATCATCCAAAAAACTAAATCTTTTGTGAGATGTTTTATTTCTGATTTTGAGATTACCACCAACTGACCAATGCTGATATTTACAGAATTCTGTATTATTTCATTGTCTTGAGATGCTAACAAACAAGGTTAGGTAGAGACTAACATATGATTTAAGGGGCCTTGAGTAGAGGAACGAAACCGGAGAAAACCTACAAGGATGGAGCTAACTTTTAGAAACATTACCATATTTTTAAAGTGGTAACTCAAATAACATATTTTCCCATTATCCACAGATTATAAAGTGTCTAACCATGAACAGCAAATAAACAGCCATAATATTATATACATTTAAAAAAAAAATTATTTGTTAAATGTAGGAAACACTTCTGTAATATTTCAAGAGTGTCTTCCTGTTCATTTTAATTTTGAAAAATAAAGTGTGTTTCGAAACACATACATGTACCACGTACAGGTACAATGATAGTTTTAGAATGTGTCCCGCCAAAAACATTGAATATATTTAAGGTGTTTTCAACACCAACTGAAAATAAGGGTTGGGCTACTTCAACTTTAAATATGTAGGTCACTCATAAACATAAAACTTGTGATAAGATAAACAGGTGATAATCTGGCGTGCATGAATAGAACATGTTTTTAAAAACAACAAAATAATGTATGTTTATGAATATTTATAATAATTAATATCGGGCTATTTTTATTCCTTGTAGCAATTTTGATAAGATATTCATCTCTTTAGACGTTTCTAGTTTTGATTTAAATAATTTTATCCTAAAAAAATTATTTTGAAGTACAAAAAAAGATTCTTAACATAAATAACACTTACCATTCCTAAAACTATACAGAAAGCACCACCATATGCCACACTAAACAAAGGTCCAGCTTCTAATACCTACAAAATAAAAAACATTTTTTTTAGAATAAAATTAGTATCAGGTATCCTCTACCATTATTATAAAATAGATTTAAGATCAGAACGTTCCAGACTAAAAGGCTAATCTAGACTTACTGATCATTAACGAGTAGGCTTGTCAAAAGCATATTGCTCCAAAAAGTATAAAAGTCAACCAGTTTTATAATAGAAGTTGTGGCCATCTCATGTTTACATCACTTCTCCTTACTATTGATTTCAGACTACTTATTTCTATCTATGAACATCAAGGTCAAGATATTACTGAATGTTTATTACTGTGAGTAAGGATATCTGGGGTTTGATCCTGATGTTGGCTGCAAATGATCCACAGGATTTCCCAGCATGGTTTCATATTGTCAGTGGTGCTGGACGGAGGACATGGCAAGGCACATGATCTAGTTGTTTGGATGGGACAAAAAAACTGAGATGCTTTGTTCACTTTGGCTTGCCCATAAAAGAACCCCTGACAGTAGGAACTCAGTTGTTGTCCAGGGAAAATTTTCCTCATAGCACACTCACTGAATGGTGTCTGCTCATATTTATTAGCCTGATTAGAAAAGAAAAGTAAGACCTTAACCCAATTCATTTATAAAGCCTGATTGAGACACATGGTAGCCTCTCCCCACCCCACCAATGACTTCAACAGTTAGCACTATGTCAACACTGTAGGTAGTATTTCATCACATTTTTTTTTACAATACAAAGTGGAATAAATTAGTAATTTGAACCATAAAACTGAATCCACTATGAGAAAGAATAATAATAAATGTCTTTGAGGTAAGTTACATTATGCGAAGTCAGTTTATTAGACTATTAACAACCTTCGTAGGGTCAGATAAGTCATGGAATATTCTTACCCCTAGTTATATCAAGTACATGACATTAACAGATGAAATGGAATTTTACTTACAAGCTTTAGTCACATGTATTTAACGACATGAAAGAGATTATGCCCTTAAAATATCAATCTCTAACTCATAGTACTTCATATGTTAGAGTTGTCAGAATAAACTGTTATAGCCTATATAAACTCAGATCTTAGTATAGATTACAATATAAAATGTTGATTAAATGCTTTAATAGGCATTAATTAAGTTATTATCTCCCTTTGATGAATCGTGTGTCTTGGGGGCAAACGGTTGGACAATGTCACAAAATTGGACCTTTGGTTCTTTTTGGGGCGGATTGACAGTCATGTACTTATAGTTCACATTAATAAAAACACAGTATAATTTAATATCAATAAGTACTGTATGACTCCAGGTACTGCAGACAATTTTGTATTAATTACAGTACTCAGTATTCTGGAATAGATGTATATCTCATGATTTGAATAAATAATGAAACAAATTAATGTCGGTGAGTGATCACCAATAACTAACAATTGTATAACCATAACAACAATGTTGTTATGATTATACAATTGTTAGTCATTGGTGACAACATATGACAATCTATCACATAACAGAAGATAACTCGAATTTTGATATTGTGCCCTCACTGTTTGGTGTTTCATTGTTTTTATCATCTATGACAACATGTATTGTATGTACTGTCTTTTTCTTGGTCTATTATAATTAAATGAACAAGATTTAATAAACATAATAGGAAATGCGACTAAAGAAGTTACAAAATCTGCCTTTTCTCAACTGTATATCTATCTGCACAAGAAATTTTTCTGTACCATAAAGCAGTTTATATTCTTAAAAAGATGATTTGTTCTATCAGTACCTTTGATGTATAATTATGTTATTACAAGAGCCTACATCATAAAGGCTTAGCATGAGTTATAATAGCAGGCATAAATCTTTTTTAATCATTGTATCTTAAAGATTAATCATTCATCTACAGCCAGATGTAATTTTTTTTTAGTGTTTTTTAAACACAATATTTTTATTCAGGATGTCTCCCTAGACATAATATTAATATAAATATAAAGAAACAAATAGGTGTATCTACACATAGTTAAAATGGCAAACATATATATATATATATAATAAAATGGCTGAAAAAATACAGTATATAATATAGGTTACAATCATACACATGCTAACATCGATACGCAATATTAAACATGATATTGAAAATAAATTGATCGAGATTAAAATCTGTATAACATATCAATAAATTTATCCACTTGATTATAAATATTATTGTTTACATCTAAACCGTGAGTTTTGGAGCCGAAAAGGAGACATTCAATGTTTTTAAAATCATATTGGAGTTTGTCATGGGTTTTGTTTCGTGCATCTGAATGTAAAGAGCATTGGAGGAGGCAGTGATCAGGATCTTCAAAGAGGCATGTAAACAGATGGAATTTTTATACCTGATTTGAAGAGATGATCGGAGAATATTTTAAGAGTTCTTACGTTTCTTGCAGGGATACTGCAACTCTCTTATACTGGATGGGATAAATAATTTAGAAAAAAGTTCAGTATGACATCAAATTTCTTTTACTTTATCTTTGTTTTGAAGTGAATATGTATTTGTAGGTTCCAGATTTATGAGATTCTTAAGATAAGGAGGGGTTAGGTTATTGATAAGTTTGTATAGTAGTTTTAAACATACATTATGCAAGAGATAAATATGTCTATTGCATGTCTTTCTTTAGGCCTGAAATGTTATATAAATTATTAATCAGACATTTATTAACATGCCAAGACCATAATCAACTCTAGCTGGCATCGGATACTCAGGATTTTAACTAGATTAGAACAGTTCGCCATTTAAAAATTTAATTTAACCAGCGGCTGCCAGGCAGGATATGCCCACATTTTCGAGAGATGGATAGAGAACAAGCTAAAAAGAAAGTTATTTTTCCTACAATCAAGGGCCATAATTCAGGAAATTACAATTCGATATGCGCAAATATCGAAAGGAAACGAGATCTTTGTGTTATAAACTTACATTTCAAGTTTCAACAAAATCGGATAAAAATTGTGACCTCTATAGGGTCCACAGCCTTGATATACCATATTTTTACGCTATTTGAGAACGAAGGGCGGCCATTGTGTCTGTCAGTTTTGGGCCGATTTTCACGAAATTCGAACTCAGCCACCCTTATGATGTAACGGAGATATAATAATACGTTTTTTTAAATCGGATAAAAATCATGACCTCTATAGAGTCCACAAGCTAAAAACGTGATTTTTCGTACAATCTGGGTCCATAATTCAGGAAGTTACGGTCCGATATGTGCGAATATCGAAAGGAACAGATATCTTTGGGTTATAAACTTACATTTCAAGTTTCAACAAAATCGGAAAAAAATTGTGACCTCTATAGAGTCCACAACCTTGATATACCATATTTTTACGCTATTTGAGAACGAACGGCGGCCATTTTTTCTGTTTATTTTGGGCCGATTTATTTTCAGGAAGTTACGGTCCGATATGCGCGAATATCGAAAGGAACCAAGATCTTTGGGTTATAAAGTTAGATTTCAAGTTTCAACAAAATCGGATAAAAATTGTGACCTCTACAGGGTCTACAACCTTGATATACCATATTTTTACACTATTTGAGAACGAACGGCGGCCATTTTGTCCGTCAATTTTGGGTCGATTTTCACGAAATTCGAACTCAGCTATCCTTAGGGTGTAAGGTGATATAATAATACGTTTCTTTATTATTTTAACATTTCAAGTTTCAACAAAATCGGATAACCAGCGGCTGCCAGGCAGGATACGCCCACATTTTCGAGAGATGGATAGAGAACAAGCTAACAAGAAAGTGATTTTTCCTACAATCAAGGGCCATAATTCAGGAAATTACAATTCGATATGCATGAATATCGAAAGGAACCGAGATCTTTAGGTTATAAACTTACATTTCAAGTTTCAACAAAATCGGATAAAAATTGTGACCTCTATAGTGTCCACAACCTTGATATACCATATGTTTATGCTATTTGAGAACGAACGACGGCCATTTTGTCTGTCAAATTCGAACTCAGCGGTGTAACGGTGATATAATAATACGTTTTTTTAAATCGGATAAAAATTATGACCTCTATAGGGTCCACAATCTAAAAACGCGATTTTTCGTACAATCAGGGGCCACAATTCAGGAAGTTACGGTCCGATATGCGCAATATCGAAAGCTATCGAAATCTTTTGGAGATAAACCTATATTTCAAGTTTCGTCAAAATCAGAAAAGAATTGTGACCTCTATAGGGTCCACAACCTTGACATACCATATTTTTACGCTATTTGAGAACGAACGGCGGCAATTTTGTCGGTCAATTTTGGGCCAATTTTCATGAAATTCGAACTCAGCTGTCCTTAGGGTGTAACTGTGATAAAATAATAGGGTCCACAAGCTAAAAACGTGATTTTTCGTACAATCAGGGGCCATAATTCAGGAAATTACGGTCCGATATGCGCGAATATCGAAAGCTATCGATATCTTTTGGAGATAAACCTATATTTCAAGTTTCGTCAAAATCGGAAAAGAATTGTGACCGGTAGAGTGTCCACAAACAATTGTGGACGTCCGGATGGACAGGGGCGACGACAATATATGTCCACATGAAAATGTGGGCGTATAAAAATGGGAAAGCAAGACTAATTCTTGAATATACCAGTTAACCACGATGCACACATCTTGTCAAAACTACAAACAGAATTTTCAATATTTTCATTATCTATTTTTGAGGTATTAGAGCAAATATGGTCAGCTCTTTATCTAAATCTTACATAATGTATCTGTAATTTGTGTATATCTCGTCTTTTTTTGAGTGGATTAAACTCTGTTTCTGCGTAGAGGGAAGTATGGCTAGTACCATTAACTGCCCCCACAAGTAGTGTGTAGTGGTGTGTCCAGCTGAAGGTATACGAGATTATTACATAAAAATCAGTGCACCCAGCCCAAATAACACCTATGCATAATTAATGTGCGGCAGAATGAAAGAAGAATATAGAGCATGAAGAGATTTTCTATTTAATCGATATTTTAAGGAGTGAAGGTAGTTTACTAATTTTGATACTTTACTAATTATACTATCAATGTGGCTGTTCCATTTACAATTGGTTTGAAAGATAAGTCTAAGGTGTTTATGTTCAGTTACTTCCTTTATTCTTATTGAGTTCATTAAAAAGAGAGGTTCACAACATTGTGTTTAGTTGTGAGGTTTAAAGTTTCTGTCTTGAGGGGGTTAAATATCACTAGCCATGTTTCCGCCCATGTATTGATTGTTTGGTTTTTTTGTTTAGTGTAACTGCACATGCCTCTGGGTTATCTGTTTTTAAGTACAGATATATGTCATCTACAAATATATCATTCACAATGTCGTTGATATATAATAAAAATAACAGTGGCCCTAATACACTGCCCTGTGGGACACCAGTGGGAATACCCCTGGAGTCCGAGGAGATTCTGTGTATTACGATACATTGTTGTCAATAATCTAGATAGTTCTTGAACCACAATAATAATCCTCCTGAGACCCCAGCAGCATCCAGCTTGTAACAGAGCCTGGCATGCCAGACTGTCAAAGTCTTGCTGATGTCACAAAAGACGATCCTAGTATATTTGTTATTGATTATCTGGATTTATTACCTGTAGTGTAAGCAGAGTACAAAACTGGTCTATTTATTGGAGTAAAACAATTCTTTAGATTAGAATGTGCAAAATTACTAATTGCCAAGGAACTATGTGGGTGATGCCAACAGTCACTTTCTTTGGCTACAAACCTGATAATTATAAATTTCAGATAGCCCATTTCTGAAATAAACTTTGACCGACATATCCACATAGGAAACTCCTTGGAATGTTCATTACTTCATTTTAAGTAAGATTTTCAGAAAGATGTCAAGAATTAAAAAGCTAAAACTGCATATAAAATGACCATATAAAACAATATTTACTTTTAACCAGGGTTTATTATATACAAATTTCATTCAAATCCATTCACGATTTTGCCAAATAAAGAAATTTCCCAGTGATGTCATAATGACCAAATGTTTGTGTGTATCAGTAGATTAACCAGCGGCTGCCAGGCAGGATACACCCACATTTTCGAGAGGTGGATAGAGAACAAGCTAAAAAGAAAGTGATTTTTCCTACAATCAAGGGCCATAATTCAGGAAATTACAATTCGGATTGTGCAAATATCGAAAGGAACCGAGATCTTTGTGTTATAAACTTACATTTCAAGTTTCAACCTCTATAGGGTCCACAACCTTGATATACCATGCTTTTACGCTATTTGAGAACGAATGGCGGCCATTTTGTCTGTCAATTTTGGGCCGATTTTCACGAAATTCGAACTCAGCCGTCCTTAGGGTGTAACGGTGATATAATAATATGTTTTTTTAAATCGGATAAAAAATTATGACCTCTATAGGGTCCACAAGCTAAAAACGCAATTTTTCGTACAATCAGGGGCCATAATTGAGGAAGTTACTATCCGATATGAGCGAATATCGAAAGGAAGCGAGATCTTTGGGTTATAAACTTACATTTCAAGTTTCAACAAGATCGGATAAAAATTATGACCTCTATAGGGTCCACAACCTTGATATACCATATTTTTACGCAATTTGAGAACGAACGACGGCCATTTTGTCTGTCAGTTTTGGGCTGATTTTCACGAAATTCGAACTCAGCCTTCCTTAGGGTGTAACGGTGATATAATAATACGGTTTTTTTAAATCGGATAAAAATTATGACCTCTATAGGGTCCACAAGCTAAAAACACGATTTTTCGTACAATCAGGGGCCATAATTCAGGAAGTTATGGTCCGATATGTGCGAATATCAAAAGGAACCGAGATCTTTGGGTTATAAAGTTACATTTTAATTTTCAACAAAATCGGATAAAAATTGTGACCTCTATAGGGTCCACAACCTTGATATACCATATTTTTACGCTATTTGAGAACGAACGGCGGCCATTTTGTCTGTCAATTTTGGGTCGTTTTTTCACGAAATTCGAACTCAGTCTTCCTTAGGTTGTAACGGTGATATAATAATACGTTTTTTTTAAATCGGATAAAAAATATGACCTCTATAGGGTTCACAAGCTAAAAACGCGATTTTTTGTACAATCAGGGGCCATAATTCAGTAAGTTACGGTCCGATATGCGCGAAAGGAACCGAGATCTTTGGGTTATAAACTTACATTTCAAGTTTCAACAAAATCGGATAAAAATTGTGACCTCTATAGGGTCCACAAGCTAGAAACGTGATTTTTCGTACAATCAGGGGCCATAATTCATGAAGTTTCGAACCGATACGTGCCAATATCGAAAGCAGCCGAGATCTTTTGGGGGATAAACCTATATTTCAAGTTTCGTCAAAATTGGATAAGAATTGTGACCTGTAGAGAGTCCACAAACAATTGTGGACGGACGGACGGACGGACAGGGGCGACGGCATAATACGTCCACATGAAAATGTGGGCGTATAATAAAATAAAACGGAATGATTTGTTCTTTCTACAAACTTTGTAGACTATGATAGGATATATACCTAGACTGGATAAACATGCCAACAAATATTGAATACAATGTAAGAATGTGGATATATGGGATATATACTGACCTTGTCACACATGGGTTTAACTTCATAATGTTCACATAGTGCTTCTTTACCAGGAATAGCTGTACCAGCTGGATACGACTCATTTCTATATATACCTGAAATAGTCATCCATAAATTAGTTTTTAATGCAAGGGAAATAACTACAGATCAAGAATGTTTACTATGGGAAATACATTGTAAGTAGATCATTACGATCAATGCTGCACAATAGAATAACAGTTGATAACTTCATTCTTAAATTCAAAACATTTTTTTAACATTCATTATTTGTTGTACTTTTACAAAAAGAGAGCCAAACATGTCACAATCATCTGGTGAATGTGATTGACCACCTAGATCATTCAATAAACCATCAAATGAGAAATAGGATTTTGTCAGATCATCCATGATTTCATCCCAATCCTCATGCACTAAAACCTAGCAGACATCTAAACCCTTCCAACCATTCTAGACCCCAAACTGGCATGCTGAAGCTTTAAATATCACTTGAAAGTTCTGCATAAATCTATTTTCTTATCTTAATATGAAATACATTATAATAAACATGATTGCTGAAAGGGTACAGAGCAGAATGTAAACATAAAACTCACCAAATTGGGTAAGATTAAAACAGTAATGAAACGATGTTGCTGTTTTCCTGTAAACTTCCATATCACAGATTTGACTAATACTAGCATAAACTATAATAGGTACTACCATTACAGATAATATTACAATCCATGCCATACCCAATATATATGATACAACCATAAACTTAAACAAAATAAAATTTATAATGATTAAACTATGATATTACTATCACAACAATCCTTTAATCCTTTTTCTATCGTATTGTTGACATGAGTGTTGGATGTGCTAGATAAATTCATTTATGAATGTACTCTCGGAAAGACTTCAGCTTTTAAATAAATAAATGGAATGAACCAAAATATTTTTATCAGACATTTGTAGAAAAACAAACAAATTAAATATGTCAACCATTGAATAAAACAGTTCTCTAAACCATGTCTTTGTGTGAAGACTAAAGGGAGACAATTTATAACCTGAAGACTAAAGGGAGACAATTTATAACCTGAAGACTAAAGGGAGACAATTCATAACAAGACACCAAATCAGAAATAGTTTCTTTCCGAAAGTCAAGGAATGGAGATGAGAGTTAATATTTTACCAACTCTTTAAGCGGCCCTATTTCATACTTCTGTATGTATTTCTGATTATTTTTCTTGTCAACTTCTATTTTTATGTTCAGGATCTCAGTTTTCTTCTATTTGAAGGATTACATTTAAGTCTGCACTTAAACTCTTGCTTCTACTTTCAGGTCTACCATAGACTTTATTCTGACTAATGATTAATTAAGGGAAGCAACTGTACAATAAATTTGAATAAAAAAAAACTTACAAAACATGCAGACACCCGACCTCCCATGATACATTTTGTTCCTGAATATAGGTTCTCTCTAGTGGCACCAGTTGCAAGATAGCCGAACACCATCAAAATAATAGCAAGTACTGCCATACACACAGCAATAATAATAAAAACAACTTGAATAACCTCTAACCTAAAAACAAAACGTGAATAAATTAGTTTGAATCTGATTCTTTGGTGGATCTATTAGATCAGCTCACAACAAGAGATATTTACAAACAAAAATGGTGTAGATATAAAATTTCAATTGAAATACATCATGTTGGCAGCACACCATAAAGTGGCTTCCCTTTTCGTCGTATAATGAAATTTCCTGAAGGTGAAAACTCACCAGTAACAGCTCTGGTCACCAGTTTCATATAACTAATGTGCAAACATTTCAATGGTAATTGTCTTCTGTATTCACATGTACATTTATACATTACCCACAAAATACTGTATTTCTGTTTCAATTTTGAATAAATTATTCTTCATATATCAGACAAAAGATACACAATAATGCCATTACTCTGGATGTCATGAAATAATTACAGGAGGTATGTAACTATACCGGGGGGTTGGATGGCCGAATGGTTAGCATGTGCGCGCTGTATCATACGACCTGTCATTGAGTCAACTGGCGTGGTTTCGAATCCCCGGTTTTACGTGACAAGGAGTAGGGTCCCCTGTCCAACCTCGCAGGTTTTCTCTTGGTCCTTTGGTTTCCTTACACTGCTAAAGACCCCTACGCGCAAGCAAATTATTGAAATAAAATTAAACCATATGTTAGTCCCGAAATGACCTAGTTTGTGTCGAGTGGACGTTAAGCCCCATTTCTCTCTCTCTATGTAACTATACCACTACTCATCTACTGATTGAAAACTAGACTTGCTATTTTAGGGGGATTGGACTATAAACATGAAGATACTAGGGTATTTATCTCAAATAAGTGTCAAATTTATACAAATTAACTATTCTGTTCATATTCATTTGACAGACATAATATTTTGAAACCAAATTTATAGGGTGATGAGATACACATTTTATTATTCGCTATAGCTGATTTGTCCAGTTGACCATGTAATCAATAATATATTATCACAGTCACTAAAAACAGCAACAACTCTTTAATGACATCTCCCCATGTATAAACTATGATTTGATGATACATTTGGAATAAAAACATATTAAAACTCTTTATCTATCGAAGGTTTTACTTCAAATCCCTCTCAAAACATTCCAATCTCAAGAAAACTAATCCAAACTGTGAAAGTCTGATTAAAGCACCTTTGATTACCATGTTACCGGATTGAGTAAGAATCCATTTTAGCTTGTATCTGGTTTTTTACATTAAATATCGAAGCCTTTGTAAATTCTTGGAGTATCCTCTGCCAACTTCTTTTCGCGCTATTTAAGTTCCGAGTCTGCTGCATGTTTAAGTTTCTCAGTGTTCTCAAACATGTTTACAAACATTATTATAATATACATGTACTTACCAACCAACATTGAATAAAAACTGGCTATTGAGAACTCCTTCTATAATTAAACTAAGAGCTCTATACAGAGACCCACAGAACACACCCACTCCAATTATACATATCAATCCTGCTATTAGTGAAGCAAAGGGAGTTTTACCAATACACTCATAGCACCCTAAAATATATAAACAATACATTTTATTAATATAACAATATCGAGACCAATATGTATTCATAATGATTGGAAAAAATAGTTATATACTAGACAAATAAATATCAATAGAGAAAATAATAGAAGAGAGAAGATCTATTTAAACCTTGCAAGTAGTTGAAATTGCTCTGTGTACATGTTGATTTTAATAATTTCTAGGTCTATAATATAAAATGATCGGCCACCTTAGTATAAAAATGTACTTTTCTCAGCAACTAGTGAAGCAAGAAAATACCACCTTTTAGGGAGTGTCATGTGGATCACAAACAATGAAATAAGTTTTTTTAAATCAGATTATGTTGGAAAACGAAATTTTTAAAAAATTGTAGATGGGAGACTTCACGAAGGGCACTCGTTTGTTTTATATATACAAACCAGACATTTCATTTGTAGTTGTTGACCTATCAATTGTCTGAAGTCTGTTGACATATTTGAAAACCATAATTATGTGTCAAATGTCACAAATTTCAAATAAAAGCTAGTCAAGCAAAATATCAATTTTATAATATTTTAAACAAATTATTTGACCGATTATAATCCGTCATGTATTACTTACCCGCCATCACGTCTTTTGATAATATTTCTCCAAAATAATAGTTAAAATTAGAACAAAAGTGAACAATTTACATTCTCATAAATTCATTTCCGTCAACGAAGGTGGCGCTGATTAATCCAGGCAACTCGTCCAGGTGTGACAGGTGTGACAGTGACTCGATTATCAAGTCCTGCGTACCTGTGAGAAGAAATAGAGAAGTCGCCGTCTGCTTGAAAAAATGAGTTCTTATACAAATTCCAACTTAGTAAGTAGGACGTTAAACCCCATTTCATTTCATTTCATTTCCAACTTAGTATACAATTTAGAAGGGGTCACGACCAGTTTGGACAGCTTATTTTATTTCCATTTTATTTCTTTATGTACGTACATGTAGGTGACAGGTAATCAAAATGTGTGCTGTTGAGGTGGTTGGAGGGGCAAAGCTGGCGCAAAGTTCAAGGTTAAGGGGGCAAAGACGCGAGATTCAACCAGGGGTATGGGGGGGGGGGGGCCTCCCCCAGACATTTTTTAAAAACAGACTGTCGGAAATGCAGTCTAGCAGTATTTCAGGCACTGATCGTCGAGAAAAATAGATCTGACCAGATACCGCCAGTCGCCTGACCACTAGTTTATCAGACCAGAAAGGAAAGTGTCAAACGAACCTCGACGAAGGCCCCCCCCCCCCTGAGCGCTAAAGTAGCAAGGCCTTACGGGAGGTATGTGGGGCCCCCCTCCACCCAAAAATTTTGAAAAATAGATTGACCAAATACCGCCTGTCGCCTGATCACTAGTTTATCATACCAGAGAGGAAATTGTCAACGAACGGACTTGTCAACCTCAACGAAGCCTCCGAAAATTTGAAAAATAGACAGCCGGAAATGCAGTCTGGCAGTATTTCAGGCACTGCTCGTCGAGATGAATAGAGCTAACCAGATACCGCCTGTCTCAAAATCACCAGTTTATCCGACCAGAGAGGAAAGTGTCATACGAACTGAGTGAATAAATCAAAATGAATGAATATTTTCGCCACGATATTTTGAGAAATAGACACCGGAAATGCAGCCTGGCAGTATTTCAGACACTGGTCGTCAAGATAAATAGAGCTGACCAGATACTGTCTGTCGCCAAATCACTAGCTTATCTGAACAGAGATGGGGGTGTCAGACGAACGGAGTGAGTGAATCAAAGTGAATGAATATTCTTGCAGCGTTGAATCTATGCCCAAAAATTTGAGGATCGTAAAAAGCATTTCTCAAGTGGTTTACGTGTTATCGTTTATAGTTACAGCAGGTTCAGTTCGGTAAGAAATTCCACTCAGAATCTACAACATGCAAGTCTATGACTGAGTGGGAGTTAATCATCGTAGAAGGTATTGATTATCAAAACATATCACAAATATATTTTTTCTATTTCTTAAAATTATTGGGGGTGCCCCCCCCCCCCCCGATTGGCACCGCCACTGTTCAGGTTGACTGAGAATATTTTGCCAGGACAGCGACAAACAACTAATATAATATACAAAATTATTATTTTCTGAACAAATCTAAAGAGAAAACATACACGTACGACTGACCAGGGACCGGTTGCTTAAAACAAAGTTATTTTAACGATACTTTAACGGATCCTTATCTTGTTAACGTGTCGTTTGTTAACTGTCCGTTAAATGTCTGTTGCTGGAAAGTCAATTTCATTAGCCGTTAGCTAGGACTGATTAAAGTTAATCCAAGAGAAGATTGCTTGTTCATTGGCTAAATTTTAAATTTAATGTAGATGTATAACAACTTCATAGAAGTTAGTACTAACAAGAAAGTGAAGAAAGTGTAGTCTGTTTACACAACTTGATTAAAGACAAAAAGATAACTGGATAATTTACTACAGTATAAAAAGCATGGAATACTGCTTTGGACTTTAATACACAAACTACTGAGAGTTTTGACCAAGTAAATAAAATATATTCGCTTGTATTTTCTCAAATCAGACTGATCACCTGGATACTTTTCTCACGACTAGAGATGTCGGTAAATCTGTTTAACTACACGTATTACGGATCAAATAAGTGACTGGATATAAAGTTCTTTCATACTTGATTGACTTGTTGTCCCCAGGATTCAACAAAATTATCAATCCACTATAATTGCTTTTTAAAAAAGGTCATTTGGGCGTTAGTATAAATTTGTTTGAAGTTGGGATATATGAAAACAATGTTACACGTAATTATGTGGTAGAGAACCACACCGAGTAAAATATTTTACAGCACGCTGCAATTACTGTTGAAAACTTTTAACTTTAATTGAAAAAGAAAACGTAGAACGTTCAGCTTCAAAAATACAAATGAATATTAGTCCTTTTAAAAAATTTTGTACGTATTAAAGAGGCATTATTCGAGAGCTATCTGACTCCTGCAGCCATTTCTTTTGGCCTTAAATGTTATATAAATTATTAATTAGACATTTATTAACATGGCAAGACCAAAACCAACTCTCGATGCCATTAGATGGTGCCTTCTTTATGGCAGCTCAGAACGAATCGGCCATTTAATGATTTAATTTAAAAATGGAGAAACGAGGCAAAAGTCTCGAATAACCACGACCGTGGTTACGATAATAAACAATCAGTGCACACAATTTGTCAAAACTACAAGCATCGATAAATTCGCTCAGAATAAAGTAATTTGAATGAAATTTTCAATATATTCATTTTGCTTTATCTATTTTTTGAACTATTATAGCCAGTTCTTTATCTAAACCTTACATCGTGTATCTTTAATCAATTATTTTTAAAATATACAACTTTGATCAATCATATTTGGATGTTTAAACATTTGAAAAAATTCAGAACACACATTGAGGTCCCACTGGCCTTGTTCCACCAACTACACACATAACCCTCATTACCCGAGCTATCTGGTGATGCATTGGTGATTATGCTTCTTGATAACACCATCAGGGTATTGGACATACACCACGTTAAACACTTGGACTTCTTTCAAAATGTATTTAGTGTATGTATAGATATAGAGGCCATCTCCAAGATGAATGAGGCTAGTAACATCTATCTTAAAGCCGTATATTTCTAGATTTCACAACAAAAAGATTATATTTACTTTGTATCTCCACAATCCACAGAATTTTATCCGACGGATTTTTTGTATGTGAAACCCGCACTGAAAATAAAATACCCATGAAGAACCGAAAGAAAAATCTACCGGAGAGACAATATAACTAAACATTTCTGAATGTTAGTCGTTAAGGGAAAAGGGTGATGAAAACAACAACAGAAGTTCTTTGGAGGAATCCAGTGGACAGTATCAGGGTTCCAGAAAGAAGTAGGCACATTTACTGTGAGAAATAAAAAGGGTGCCACAGTCGAGATTTCTAAAACCCGTGTTCGATTGATCATAAGACCAAAAACAACTACCCGTTGACCGATTATATTTTTTTTTCAGTCTGAACCACCGACCATAATCTTAATTTTCAAATTTCTCAGTTTCTATAAATTGATCTGGGTGCGGTTTTCTGAAGACAAATTCCAACATTTATGGGGTATAGGGGCTATGTAATTGTAAACACCGATATTTTTTCTTTTTGACCTAATAACTAGCGTTGAGAACCCACAACATTTATATTAAGACACAGCTTGTTTTGATTCTGTTATTTTCACAAGACGGAGACACATAAAATTGAGAATTATATTAGCTATTTATTTATTAAGCAAAGTGTTACTTTAATATATTAAAAGTAGTCTGAGACTAAAAGTGTATCAACCTTCTAACCCCTTTGAAATCTGACCAAGATGGCAGTTTTCCCATCATTATGTCCAATGACCAATCGAAATGTATATTTTGAAACATATAATGTGAAATATTAAGTTAAATTCCTGAACTTGAGTGTACCAAATAGTGAGTAAATTGGGTTTTATACCGTGTCCAGAAATAGGTTATTTGACGAGAGTCGTAACAATCCCAGCCATGTTGAAACATGTAAAATTAAAGTCACGTTCCTCAACACGAACAGTAAGGACAGATATACATAACACGAATACATCATTATCGGTAAAGATGGGCTCACGTTTTCTCGCTAAATGTCTCACATTGTCTTAAGTATTTCCAATTATTGGCGGTAATAGTAGCACTGTCTCGCATACTTTCTTATCAGACTTAGATTTCGGGACGTGGTAGACTTTTCCAGTTCATAGTTTAACAACTGACACAAAATAAGTCTTTATCTGTATAATTATTTAGGTCGACTGTATTGGAACTCCAGGAATTATATTCATGCATCAGAACATTGAATACACCACAATAAATGAGCTGTTTTGAGCGTAGTATTTTACTTTACCATAATTCTATAAGATAAGATGTTTATTGCACGAAGGCACCCATTAAGGACAGCATGCATACGCGTATATTTAGAATTACATATACATACATGTATATATGCATTGATAGAATACAATTTTACACTAATACATCTAAAGAATTTCAGTTGGCTCCCACTAAATGTGGTTTCGATATCAAAAGCCTTAACAATCGATTTTTGTGGGTCAAAATATTAAACATACATTATGCAAGAGCTAAATTTATCCACTGCAGGTCTATCTTGAGGCCTGAAAGGTTATGTAAGATATTAATTCGACTTTTATTAACATGGTAAGACCATAATCAACCCTCGATGTCATCGGATATCTCCGGTGTTAAGTAGATTAGAACGGTGAAAATGGTGAAGAGAGTCTAGAGCTTCGAACAACCAGTGCGATGGTTACAATTAATGCAGACATCTTGTCAATCCATCAAAAGCTAATATCTTTGCTCGCAATATCTCTTCGAACTATTATAGTAAGAATGGCCAGCTCTATATCTAAATCTTACATAATGTATCTTTTATAAGATTGTAGGAAATCTCCGGCTTTGCTGGGAAGGCTATGTATATGAGACAACTTCCGGTCTATCGAGAGGTTACGGGTCGAACATTCTGATCATGGAGCACCCGTAACGCTAATCATTATGAAAAACAAAACCTGCGATTTTTGAAATAATCTCCTAATTTTGTAATTTAAATAATTGGATTGAGTTACTTACAGATCAAGCCGATTGTTCTCATCAATTATGTGTGCAGAGATTTTATTAGCAGTCTCCCCTAGGTGAGGGGTATAT